CAGAAATTATAGAAGATCCTATAGGCATGCTTTCTAAGCGCAAAAAATGCAGAATTATAAAAGATCATATAGGCATGCTTTCTACCCTTTACATGCATTCATTCCCCCATCCCTTTTCACTATCGATCCCCAATTGTTATTACAAGGTTATTACAGACCGAATGGATCAAAAAGAAAGTAAAAAAAATTACAGCAGCGGTTACAGCTACATCTAATCAGCCTAATTCAGACTCCAAGTCCAATAATATGAGATAAACCAACTTCCAGGATCAGATTTCCAAAAGACTTTCTCATATTTGGAGTGTGTCAAAGTTCCCAAGAGTCTCAAAGAGACTCCGGGCAGTGCTTACACCCCAAAAACATTTCAGAATCAAGAGCATAGTGCAGTGTAGAGATGCCAGCCCTCAGATGTCCAAGTTCAGAGGGAACTCAGGGTCCCAAAGCAAGGCTCATAAGAGAGGGGCAGAACTTAGAATCTAAGAGTAAGTGTAAGTGCATATGGGGAAGGGAATCAGGGAGAGACACGGCAGGCGGGTGGTCATGCCCAGCAATTGGGATGATGGCACACCCCTGANACAAAAGAAGTAAACATGTCAAATGCTTCATCTTTAGATGTTAAAAACAATGTCCAAGTAAACCTAGAGTAATCATCAACAAGCACCATCACATATCTTTTACCACCTCTACTTAATGTTCTCATTAGACCACAGAGATCCATATGGACCAGTTCCATCGTCCGGTGGTGCTTACCATTTTCTTGCATTTAAAAGAGGATCTTACCTGCTTCCCCCTTGCACAAGCCTCACAAACTTTGTCTTCCTTGAACTTGATGTTAGGCAGCCCTATCACCAGATCCTTGGAGACTAATTTGTTGAGTTGACTCAGACTTGCATGTCCAAGTCTCTTGTGCCAAAGGAGGGGATCATTGTCCAACACACTTAAGCAAGTGAGTTCATTTTCTGAAAGTGTGGAAAGATCTACAATGTAAATATTTGTTTACTCTTTTTCCCTGCAAAACAATCTTGTTAGTGGTAAGATTTATCACAAAACATTTGGTAGAGGTGAATGCTACCAAGTTACCTCTGTCACATAATTGTGATACACTGATTAGACTGTACTTTAGGCCATCTATCAAGTAGACATTCTCAATAGAGTGAGAATCAGTCTTACCTACCTTTCCAACCCCAATGATCTCACCTTTCTTCCCATTTCCAAAGGAGACATTACCTCCTTTGAGGTCCTCAAGTGAAAGGAACTGGTTCTTGCTTCCTGTCATATGCTTTGAACAACCACTATCCATGTATCATATTTGGCTGCTCCCCTTCACTTGGACCCGCAAAAGGAAATCAGGGGTTAGTCTTAGGAACCCAAACTAGTTTGGGTCCCTTTCTGTAGGCAAAAGGGTGAATCAGATTCTTTTTAGCCCAACCTGGCAGCCTATTTTTCCCTTGAACAAATTCTTTATTCTTTTGAATAGCTTTTTCTTTTGCAATACATTCACTTTTATAGTGACCATTTTTACCACAGTGTGTGAAAATTATGTTCTCAGGAAGTGTGAGGTACTTGCTTTTGGGATCTCACTTAGGTGCACGGGTCCCGTAGCCAAGTCCTCTCTTATTGCTACTATGGTGTTCATGTAGCCATGAAAGTGCATTGGACGACCTATTCCATTTACATGTTCTGTCTAGCTCGTGCTTAACCTTGCTTAGATCCTCCTTAAGGACTATTATCTGCTCATCTCTTTTGTACAACTCGTCTTTCATTTTTCCTAGGTTTTATTCTAATGTGAGTTATGTGTGATCAGCTTTCTTTTTACCTGTTCCGAATTTCAGTTTTAGATTTTCAGATCTTAGCTCTAGGACAGTGGTGTTAAGTTCATGAACCTGGTTCTTTAACTCAGCATTTTTACTATCACTTTCACTAGCCCTAAGTTCTAGATTTTTGCACTTAGCTTTCAGAATCACACACTCCTTAGACAGCTGTTCCTTTTCATTGTTTAGATCCTCAGATTCATCAATAAAATCCAGGTGTAACTCAGATAGCCTTTCTTTAGACAAAAATTTAATCTTGTCTTTGAGATGAATTATACTTACCTCAGATTCCTCATCGGATTCTCGAATTGCCATAAGTGCTTGTTCCTCTCCATCTTCATCCTCTGAGTCCTCATCTGAGCTTTCTCCCCAGGTAGCAACCATAGCCTTTGTTGATCCTTTGTTCTTCTTGGGTTGAACATGTTCCTTCTTCCTGTTCCTTCGTTCAGCTCTTTCATTCTTCCATTCAATTTCCCATTGAGGGCAGTTTTTGATGTGGTGATCAGTCTTCCCACACTTGTAACACCCCTCATTGGTTTGTTTTTCAGGAACCTTTGGTTTGTTGTAGCTTCCATTTCTTGAAGGACCCTTTCCTCTCATTAGGTACTTCTTGAAGTCCTTTGTGATCATGGTCATTTCATCCTCCTCTAGATCAGCATCTTCAGTGATTCTGAATGCCAGGCTCCTTTCCTTCTTGGGTGCATCCATCTTCATGGTTTGCCTTCTAAGTTCATAGGCAGTGAGATTTCCAATTAGCTCATCCAACTTAAGAGTGGCAATGTTCTTTGATTCCTGAATAGCAGTGATTTTGCTTTCCCAAGAGACTGGCAGAACCCTTGTTAAAATCTTCTCAAATTTGTCCTCTTCAAGAATAACCCTTCCAAGAGACTTAAGTTCATTTGTTAGTGTGGTGAACCTTGTATACATCTCTTGGATGGTTTCCCCTTCCTTCATGGTGAAATTCTCATATTGAGAATACAGCAGTGTTCCTCTGGACCTCTTCACTTGAGGTGTTCCTTCATGAGCCACTTGCAAAGTGTCCCAGATTTCCTTAGCAGTGGTATAGCTTTGAATTCTATTGTACTCGTCTGGACCAAGTCCACACACAAGCCATTTCTTGGCCTTTGCATTCTTTTCCCACTTCCTCAAGTCCTCAGCATTGCAGTCAGCTCTTGTTTTTGGAACATCTACTCCTTCAGCATTCTTCTTCATGGTAGTAAGGGGACCATCAGTGACAATGTCCCACAGCTGATAGTCTTCTCCGATGATGTGATCTCTCATCCTGTTTTTCCACCAAGAGTAGTACTGCCCATCAAAGAGTGGAGGCATATCAGTGGATTGCCCTTTCCAATTTCTAGGTGGTGCACTCATCTTGATCTGTTCCTAAGGTGTTAGCCTCTTCAAGGATAACCTGCTATGATACCAATTGATGTTTTAAACGTCAATACCACACAAGAGGGGGGGTGATTTGTGTGGTACCCAATTTTCGCTTAACTGGACTATAGAAGGACCTGGTTCTTCTATGTGTTCTAGCTACTACTGTTTGCAGAATAATAAATAAAGAAAATAAAGAACACAGAGATTTTTACGTGGAAAACACCTGGCTCAAAAGGTGAAAAAACCACGACCTACTACTCAGTAGGATTTTCCCAAACTTCCACTAAAATCACTGAGCCAAAATAGCATTTACAAAACTCTTTGTAAACCTAAGGATTAACTCTAATCTTGTTGAAGCAACCAGCCTCTAACTGCTACGACAACTTCAAGTTAACTCTAACTTGAATACTCAAAATACTTATTACAATTGCTTCTAGATAAAGCTGAAAGGTACAATATGAAAACACCTACTACAATTGAACTAGAAATAAATAAAGACACTTGGAACTGGTTCTTCTATCTCGTTCAAGTAGCTTCAGGTTTGCACACTTGAATCACACACGAACTGCTTGCAAAAAGCGTTGCTATTTTGCTCTCAATTCACGTTTAACTTCTGCATTTTTGTGCAACACATGTAATGTGAGAACATCCTGCAATTTACAGAGTTAGTAGATGAAGAAATAACTAGAGTTCTGATGCAACTCTTCCTTGGTGGAAGAGTTGTAGTTGATTTCAACTTCTAACTCCTTCCCTATCTTGGATAGTGTTCTCTTTAAGTAAGGAATCTTTCTCCTTATCAATTATGCAACCTTTTCGATCAGGAGATATTAAATACACCAAGTTAAGCTTATCTTCTTCACGTGCATCCCACATGCTTGAATCTGCCCGTTTTTGTGCATCTGAGGAATGGACCTGGTTCATGTCTGAGTTCCTTTGTCAGTCTTCAAAACTAAACCTTTACTTGGGCCAATAGTAAAGATGGTGTTAGTTTAGCAAATTTTTTTTTAATTTATTGATCGTACCATATACTATCATTTCAAGCATCCAATCGATGTATTGACTATTTTTGTGCTTCTGAATTAATCTGTCCTTCAACCTGTTTTTTTTTTAAGTATGTTTGCAACAGTTTGTATTGATATGTATGCATCATGTTGTATTGATATGTATTCAACTTATTGTATCAGTCAGTATTCAACTTACTGTATTACTCTCTATCAAACTTATTGCATTCATAACAAGTCGACAGGTTGCATTTATATTATAATTTTACCACATTGTATTGATCTGTATTTCAACATGATATATTTATCTATATTCATTAAGTTGTATCTATATGTATTCACCAGAGTATGTTCACATATTTTCAGCAGGTGTATTTAGACCTTCATATTTATATAATGTATTGCATTAATATGTATTCAGTTGTATTTTGAATACGTCTTATGTATATAACTGATTTTATTCATTTGTATTCATTTATATGCATATGTATTCAAGTAAGAAATCTATACGTGCATAACAGATTGTATTAATATGTATTCAAGTGTATTTGAATACATGTATTTAATATTCAGAAATCATATTCAATCTCTGATTTCCTATGATACAATCATATCCTATGTATATAACTGTGTGTAATCATATGTATTCAATGATTGTATTCATCTATATTCAGATATAATAAAGATATAATAGTCGTATTTTAACTACGAATTCAGATTTAATACACCAACTAAGTATATCCAAAATATATGCGAAATGAAACTGGTTCTAATAAAAATCGTTTTGCATTAATACAAGTCAGAATGTGAACTAATTTCTACGTGGAGCATTTCTACAAGTACGCTTATTATGTCCTTCCTGCCCACATATGTTACACGAATGTTGATTTTTCTTCTGCAGCAATCTGATGAACGGCTTATCACACTTCTTCTTTGGTCTTCCCGGAGGTCTTCTCCATTTGGGTGGTAATACAACTTCATCTACTATATGTGCTGGTATATTCCATTTTTTTCGGTCCGGCAAAGGATACACGGGCACCTCATATGTCATTACAACATACTTTGGTTTGTAATAGTCAGAGCAATAATCTTCTGGCATTAGAAACTTGCTCTTCAGGACAACCCAAGCGTGTGGGCACGGTAATTCATCGATTTGGAACCGCCCACAACTGCACGGTGTAATGCCTTCCTTCATCGTTCACCGTATGCAAATATTCAGTCGATGGCACCACCTACATTTAAAACAACAAATCATATATATATCAAAGAAAGACGTATTAAATATGATTTTAATATAGAGTATTAGACTTTTATTTAGCTTAAAGAATCACAATATATATTTGTATTAAAATACAACTGTATTAGGTACAAACATATTTGTACATACAGAATTCAAATACATACACGTATATACAGTTAAATACATTGAATACATTAGAATACATACTATATGAATGCTGGTAGAATATTAGAGAGTAGTCTTGAATGAATATAGGATACAACGTCCATTGCTACCTTGAAATATATACAGTTAAATACCTTGTACCATGGCTACATATAGGAAACAGATACATAAATAAAAGGCAACTTACAGTCATTCGAGTAGACATTGCCTCATTCAAGGTAAGCATCTCCTAGCATTTTTTCCCAAGCGTTATGTATGTCTGTAGAGCTTCTTTCCGATTGCTGCAATTCCAACGTCCAAATATTTTCCTAACTTCTTCGAGGAGGTCGTATATTGGCAATTCCCTTGCTGACACAAGTGCGGCATTGATTGACTCAGCAATATTTGAGGTCATTGTCCATCCCCTGTTGACAGGTGCATACAACCTAGCCACTTTTCATATCCAGCTAACTCCAAGTATTCCTTCACCGTAATATCTACCTTCTCCACCTTCTCCATTAGACTGTCAAATTCAGCCTGTGTGTATGCTTTTGCCATCGAGAAGTATATCTCGCTCAACTTCGAATGACTCTTTTTGAATTTCTTATATATGTTGTTCCAAAGATGCCATATACAAGCAAAATGTGGTACAGTTGGATACACGCTTGATACAGACTTGATGATACTTTCGTTCCTATCTGAAACGATGCACATGCTTTCCCTCTCACCATATGCTTCCTTGAATTGCTCAAAGAACCACGTTCAAGCAGCATCGTTCTCTGAATTAATAACACCATATGCTAGTGGAAGTATATGACCTGTAAATAAAATTGCATACATATTATAAATATGTATTTCAATATTTAATATGCAGTAATATTATAATATTTTATTATAATCAGCATACTCACCTGCTCCATCCAAAGTGTTGGCCGAGACGAAAATCCCAGTGTAATACGATTTTAAGTGGCTTCTATCCACAACCACAATGGGTCTATATTGATCAAACCCCTTTATAAAGGCATACAAGGATATATACACATACTTGAACTCATTTTGTGGGGATTTTACCATTCTAATGTGCGAACCAGGATATGTCATATCTATTATATACAAGTATCCTGGTAATTTATTGTATGAATCAGCCGGTTCACCCCTCAAAAAATTCATTGCCTTTTTTTTAGCCCGCCATGCCAACATGTAACTAACATCCACACCTAAATCTGTTTTTACATCATCAATTATATTCTTTGGGGTGTATTTCCTCTTATGATTTGTAAGCTTGGGCCTAATCATACCACCAATAAGGCTGCTACTTGCCTGACGTTGCTCATACACCTTATCCTTCAACGGACATGTATGCTTATTATTAAACTCTCTGACTTTGAATAATTGTGATTTGTTAATGCTGGAAGCCTTAAACCTCCATTCACAATCTTCTGACATACATAATAATGCATAGCTGCAAAGAATTTTATCATTACACATATGATCAGTATAAATGCTTACAAAAAATACACTCATATACACTTGAATATATTATTGCATTATATATATATATATATATAGAGTAGTATACAACACAAATATATATATATATATATATATATATATATATATATATATATATATATATATATATATATAGAGAGAGAGAGAGAGAGAGAGAGAGAGAGAGAGAGAAATATACAACACAAATATATACACTGTTATACATTTAAACATGTCTGAATACACCTATACTTATAAGCATACATTTTAATACAACTAATACATTTAATAAAAAACAGTTAGAGCCACTTTAATCCACAAGAATACATGTATTACTAATACATAAAAAATAAAAAAAGAACAACAGTGAAGGTCAAGTAACCTTTCACAAATACAGCTAAATACATATACATACAATTTGAAACTACATTCAATTCTTCTGTACTAGCGTAATGCTCCACAACAATACATGTATTATTAATACATAATAAATAAAAAATGCACAACAGTGAAGGTCAAATTAAAATTCACAAATACACCTAAATACACCTACATACGCTTTACAACTCCTACCAGAAATACAATATACAAAAAAAATAATGAATACTTAAGAACACTCAAACCTGATTGCATTAGACCTATCAACTCGGAATTGAAACCTTTCTGATATAGCGTAATGCTCCATCACCTCTTTTAATGTAGCTTTATCCGTATATACTTGTCCAACCATAACCTACCTTTGATTTATTTTTGAAATTATCAAATCCTTGTCCAGTTCGAACACCCCAATTGGTTCGCCTGAATTGAAAACATCAAGGGCAAGGGTATCATCTATATCGAAATTACAGATTTGAACTGCTTCGTCCATTTGGACAATGTCGCATTGAATTAAACTACCTCCGGCTACAGCTTCTTTATCAATTTTTGTTATGCACAAAGGATACATCCCGAATTCTTTGTTCTCTTTTTGCAACTCTACATACACCCTAAAACCCATATCATTGTGTATTTCCATTGGCGTGTAATTTTCTTCTACTTTGTATTGAATTTTAATGTCTTTGAGCTCAAATCTATGTCCAGTTGCTTAGAAATTGACGCAACCACATCATTATACGACGAATACTCCTTTATGAGTATTCCCTCAATCGAAAAATTGACGTAGTTGCTCTCACTGTTCCACTTTCCAGAATGACGCAATAACACTGTTAAACTTGCCATATGCAAATTCGAATTTGAACGTATTTCTGTATATAATTGTATCAATCTCGAGTTTTCTTGGTTGAAATTTGTTTTGTACGGACTGTAACAAAGGAACTGAAAAGAAAGAAGGGAGAATTGAGAATCCACGATTTGCTCTGTTTTTTGATACTTTTGGATGGAAAATCTTTAATGAAGGGAGAAATACAGATTATGGGCGATATAATTGTGTTAGTTGAGTTATATTAGGAGACTATTTGCTAGATTGATTTCCTTTCCGTTTTAAATCAGTTGAAAGGTCCCTTTTTTAAGGAATATACGTTACTGTATTCAATGATACAGCTCTTGAATACAGTTGAATACAACAACTGATTAGCTGGACTTCCATTATTCACACCTATTTTTTCTATTGTATTCATGAATACAGTAGTCTAAATACATCAAATACATCTTATAAAAACGTAAAACGTATCTACAGGCCGTAATATAGCAAATGGTATCTATAGATAGCTAATTACCACTAAAATATAGTGCTTTATGAAAATTTCCCTAGATTTTATGTAAGTCTATTTGATTGGATTTGAATGAATACCTTAATTATATTAGCATATAATATTTAATTAAAATAGTATATCTTAAATTTAGGAATATAATTCGAACTCTTACGGATTTAAATCTAATAAAATCTAGATACCTAAACTAGCTTCTTCCTTGAAGTGAAGTTATGATATTAGTTGGTCCTCGTTCTCCCATCCATAAGTTCTCTAAAGCATTTGCTTATTTACCTTTACGAGAAATTTTCAGAAACCACTATAGTTTAGTGGCTATTAATTTCTTATAGCTATCATATGCATATTTACTTCCTATGTTGCTACCAGACTGTATTCGTTGTATTTGCACTACTGTATTTATGAATACAGTCGTGGAATTTGCCTAATAAGTAGGGAGTCCAGTTGTTTAATAATGGAAAGATGATCAATTAGCGTGAATCACTCCTAATTTAACTCAACAAAATCAATTCTATAGAATTTTGATGCTACTTCGCTGTATTTCATGTATTCGCGCGACTATTTTATAAATACAGTGAGATAATCCGCCTAAAAAACAAGGATTACAGCTGATTAATTTTGTATTTCATGTATTCGCGCGACTGTATTGATAAATATAGTAAGGTAATCCGCCTAAAAAACAAAGATTACAACTGTTTAATTATGTACTATGTATTCGCGCAAATGTATTTATAAATATAGTGAGGTAATCCGCCAAAAAAATAGTGACAGGTGTTTAATAACGGAAAGCGTAATATTAAATTGTATTCAATTTTCACTATATTGAATTCAGTTATATTCAAACAACAAAAATTAAGAAATATGGTGTATATCGTTCTATTCGGTCCGACTGTATACATTGTATTTAATTTACCGTATTCAATTCAACTATAATCAAATAATAAAAAATCAAAAAAACGGTGATATTCGGTTGTATTAAAAAAATACTGAACTTCGGAATACATAAATACATGCGAAAAAATAATGTATTTATACAAAAATATAATGTATTTGAGTGTATTTGTACATAATACAATGTATTTGTATTAATATATGTAACTCAATAGTAAAGAAGAGAAGAAAGTTTGCCGCAAATAGCATTTCTCGGCCAAGCAAAATACTGTATTCATTGTATTAAAACTAAAAATGGAGATGAACAAAAAGGCGACCCTCAAATTTCTCCGGCGATTCTGCTTTAGATTTCCAAAAGCTCAATCCGTACCCATGGCCAGATCTGTTCACCTACTCCCTCTTCGCTTCAGATCTATTCTCTTCGCTTTAGAAAGTCCATCATCGCCACCAAAAATGGTTGCTACGACGGCTGCCTTGGTGGAAAAGGGAGAGAGGTTTGAGGGAGAAGAGAGAGGATTGAGAATCTTGTTGATAGAGAGAGAAGGAAGAGAGAGAGAGAGAGAAAGAACATAACTGGCGTATTTCATGCCTCAATGGTAAGGTATAAAATAAATACATATTTTGCTATAAAATAAAAAAAGTAGTTATAAGCAATAATATTTTGAAATTATTTTAATTTATAATAAATAAGGTGTAATAGTTTATTATAGGAGGTAAAATTTCCTTTACCTTACCGTACCTCCGCAGAATGGGAAGTGAACCTTATAATTTTTTGGTGCTTTGTAAAGGACTAATATCACAAATATTGGTAGATAGATCACCTAAATATTGAAAAAGCCCTTGTAATTGTTACAGATCAGAAACCAACCTAAAATAGGTTTTGGCTGTTTCCCCAACTTTGAAAATCAAATCCAGAAACCAAACACTAGAACCTTTGTGTTAACTTTTGTGAAAACTACCTTTGTCTATTTTGTTAATTCCGGAAAATATTTTCGTTTGCTTATTTAAAACTAAAATCTTTTTTTTATTCACTAAACAAGCAATAATATTAAAGAGCCCCATGTTCTTCCACTTGTTCTTGAAACAGCCTTATCAAGTTTGCCACTTGTTGTACCAATTTTGAATTGATTGCTGCTTCAGTTTCGTGCCAGTATATGCCCACTTGGCGCGCCATTTGATTTCCTTTTCTAATGGAGTAATTTGATTGAAACAAATACTATATACTACTTGTTGGTCATTTTATACGGTGTTATTTGATTGGATATAAATTTATCAAAGAAAGACTTGGCCGCATGTTAAAAGGGGACAAATTAAAAATTAGTCAGATTACAAGTGATCATTCAAAAGTAATCGAAATTTAGCCACTTTTCATGTAAAGATAAATTTGAACGGAAACACTGTTCAAAATTCGAAAAATACTCCAGCATAATATACTGGAGTTCCAGTATACTCCAGCATAATATACTAGAGTTCCAATATACTCCAGCATATTATACTGAAGTTCCAGTATAATATACCGGTGCAGCATATTATGCTGGAAGTTCATACACAGGTGGTCCAATCTCCAGTATATTATGCTAGAACTTTCCGCGTGTTGGAGTTCCAGCATAGGTGCACCGATCTCCATTATATTATGCTGGAACTTTCCGTGTTGCAGCAAAATAGTGATTATTTTTTGCGATGACTTTGCAAACGCTGGCTATTTTTGAATGACCCGTCCAAAAACTGGCTAGCCCGTGCTATTTTTATGTTAAAAGTACCTTTAAAATTTGCAAGTTTAAACATGTCATGATATTTTTATAATTATAAGCCTATCATTACATCAAAGGACAAATAAGTTAAAAAGTTTTCGAATATGTGAAGGCATTGTTTTATAAATAACATAAAAAAGAAAAAGTGACAAACAAAATAAAATTGAGACAATACCTACGTACTGATAAAGTAAACCAGAAAGAGGTGGTATTTCAACACGTATGTATTACACAAGAATAAATTACAACCATAGAGAATCTAAATCTAGCAACCAAAAGTACAATCGAAAACAAAAATATGATGCTAAACATAATAAACTAATAATAATCTCAACTAAAACATACAAAACATGCCTCTTATCTATTAAGAAGGGGGAAAAAAAATTATTATAAAACATTTTTATTTTACACCTCCCTGTTTGCATATGCATTAACACCATTTGCCCCATTCCCATTGGGATACTTATCAGAAACTGAAGTCTTTTTCCTTTTAATGACAATGAACCAAGTAAAGGCTTCCAACATAACTGCAATTGCACCCAAGGCTATGATCACCCCAATGTAAGCCCTCTTCCAATTTTTCTGTCCATTTAAGGCATCAAATCCCTCAAATACATTGATGATGCTAAGAATGATCACTGTGTATCCAATAGTATGGTGGTAGATGTTCCAGTAGAGTCTGTACTTGTGCTCTGGCTTTGGCCTCAATAGCAAGGCAAAAACCTATCATATAAAACAGCAATTAAAACTTGGTATTTGTATGTTAATCAAGTAAAAATAGCTTATTTAAGCGTATTCTCCGGTACATGTTGTTGTTACATTGAAGCCATATGTAAGTTTTTGTTTTTTATTAATAGCGGAGAAATTAGCAAGGGTTAATGGCACATTAACTTGTGACGTACGCTTAATTTACACGTTATGTGCTGCCCTTTTACCACTAGACTAAAGCTTGGGGCCATAAAGACTATAGTAATTATTTTCCCTGTCCCAAAATGGTTGCCACTTTTCAGTTTCTGAGAGTTAAACAAGTAATATTTGAGTAAGATTTTTAAAGTTGTTCATTCATTATTTTGACATGGAAAATATTGGAACTTGTAACTAATACTTCTTGTGTAGTTTATGAATATCTGAATTTTAATCTCAAATACAGAATGGTCTATTTAATTTCATTGCGAAAGGTGGTCCAATTGATCTTGTTAAACAAAAGGGAAGCCCGGTGCACTAAGCTCCCGCTATGCGCAGGGTCCGGGGAAGGGTCGGACTACAAGGGTCTATTGTACGCAGCCTTACCCTGCATTTCTGCAAGAGGCTGTTTCCACGGCTCGAACCGTGACATCCTGGTCACATGACAACAACTTTACCAGTTACGCCAAGGCTCCCCTTCAAGATAAATAGAAACAAAGAATAGTGCAAAATTGACCTACCTGAAGAGTTCCAAGGCAGAAGAGAGTAATGCCAATGTTCCTGTGAGTATTGAATTTAATTCCAACAGAATCACTGCCAAGCTTGAGACCAGTGCCCCATCCAGCAACCCCAACAGCATAAGCAGAGGTTTGACAAGCAACATGTAGGTAAAACCAAGCTGGATTTGCTGACTTGAACACTTTCAAATACCTTGCAAATACAGCACCCATTGGCATCATAACTCCCCAACTAATTGCATTCAGCACTCCATGTGTCTGTCAAAATTTTCAAGATATTCATCAGAAGAGGACATATTTTCTCCACCTATAAGAGCTCAAATTGTGACATGTCCATGCTTATTACGTTTAAATGCAGATAAACAATAGCCATTTAGATATTAAGAAAATAACCAGTCTAAATTATTCGGTATTCAGATTTAGTGACATCATTTTAATATTCTATATTCAGATTTAAAAATCTTAATCTTCATAAAAATAAATGGGGTGAACTATTGTTTGTGACTCGAACTTTATGCACATGTTAAAATATTTTGAAACAAACTATGTTTTTAGAATCGTTGTATATCACATACTCAGCAACAATTATGCTTTAAATCCAAGCAAGTTGGAGTTAGTTATATAATCAGCACCATCCCTCTATGTTGTTCAATTTAAATCCGTCTCAATCCAATATTATAAAAGTATTGAAATTAGTTACTCTAATACTAAAAGTTCTCTCCATTTTCTATTAGCATATAAAAAATTTTACAAGAGCAAAAAAGCTCCTAATAAACATTACAACTACGGGAAGTCACAAAATTAAAATCTTGAATCTACCTATGACAAATATTTTCATTTAAATTAAGTGGGCGTTTGGACATAAGAATTGTAATATTTCAAAAGAAAAAAAAGTGAAAAAAAATTTCAAGCGAAAATGGTATTTGAAAATTAGAGTTGTGTTTGGACATGAATATAATTTTGGGTTGTTTTTGAATTTTTGTAAGTGTTTTGAGTGAAAATTTTAAAAAACAGTTTCAAAATGTATCTTGAAGCGAAAATTAAAAATTTTAGGACCAAATGTTATTTCGAAAAAAAGTAAAAAATTTCGGAAAAAAATAAAAAATCTCTTATGTCCAAACGGGGTCAAGGAAGGATTTAGAACTCACATTTCTTCGGCGTTGTCTAGAGCTGGCTGAGTCACCAGCAGCAGCGGCAGAGGTCTGTCCACTGGCAAAATCAATAGTTCCAAAACTCCTCACGTTATCACCACTCTGACGATGAATTTGCAAACTCTGACCAGAAACTGGACCATTTTGCCAAACCTGATTAAAACTAGTACTACTCCCACTAGGAAGTTCCAAAGTTGCAAATATAACCATCTCATTATTTATAAACTCTGCTGCAATTCTAGGCACCCTAAAGCTCAAGGGACCTTCTCTCAGCTCTGTGTTGTAGCTAGTAGGGGAAATAGGTGAAGTGTAGGCATGAATTTGTCCGCTTGAATTTCTAAAAGCAACCAAACATTGAGCTCCTAACATACGTGATCCTCCAATATTTAACGCCCAAGCAACCCAATCAGAATCTGTGACACCACCATGTCTATAAGCAAGATCTACTGTGTGGTTAGCTGAGTGGTAAGTCCAGTGAAGGAAAGAGTTGAGTACAGGGAGAGGGTTGCAAGTGGAAAAAATATTGTTGTTGCTGAATCGATGACTTGAACAGTTTTGAGCATAAGTAGAAGTGAAGAGAGTTAACAAGATTGATGAAAACACCAAACTTGTTAAGACCTTATTATCCATTTTTCTGAAGGGAAAAATAAAACAAGATTTGCTTTTTCTTCTTCTGCAGCAACCAAAAAAGATGAAAAAACAAAAAGTTCAAGGATTTGGGTATGTCCCAGATGGTTCAAGAATTGGGTTTTAAGGGAATCTAGTTTCTTGAATCAAGAAACTGAACTACTTGATTAAGAAAATGGGGAAGGTTGAATAGAACTTTATAGACTAGAAGATAGGTGGTGGAGAGTTGGGTTAGTTGACTGTTTCCTATTTGAGAAATTTGGTTACATTTATGTTTGAAACCAAAAGTCTAAATGGAAAGAAAGAAAGTTCAAATGGAAGCAGCCAGGAAGGTCTTTGAAATACTTCTACTTTTGTATTTAATAATAATTCAAAGATTTATGACTAATCTTTGGTGCTCCAACAACTACCTTGCTTTCACACCTGGAAAGTCATGAATTATTATTTTAAAAATTGGACTTTAAAAGCATTACATATTTCTACTAACAGTTTGGTCATAGAAGAGGTGCTTTTGGTTTGTGTCAACTTGTACAAAAAGAATAGTTCATTCATCTTGCGAGAGTGGATTTTGTGCCAAATATCTAAACAGAATCAGTACATTCACAAAGACCAGATATTAGTAGCCTTTCGTATTTTTGTGTATTAACAAAAATATGTCAATAATTAATACTTTGTTTGTCACGTGTGCTTTTAAATTCGAATTAAACTCAGTTTTTCTTACTCACTCCGTCACATATTATGTGTCGTGTTTCTTTTTTGCACGCCCCTTAAGAAATATTAATTAGGAAAGGGATTGGACTATTCTATCATTATTTATGTATTAAAATATAATCTATGTTCATTGAATATTTATTCTATTTTTGTGTTATCTCCATCTTCAAGGACAATTATTACTAAGGAGAAAAAAAGAAAAAAATAATCAATTTTGTCTTGAACTTCTAAAATAACAAATAATTTGAGACAACTATTTTTAGTAACCACGACAGTTAATATGAAACGGAGAGAGTACTCTTTCTCCTTTTGTTCTTTTTTTCTAGAAACTAGAAATATTCAAATCACCATTCACCTCCACAATGTGCATAAATGTTTCTATTATTTCCTAATCTATGCATACATCCTATGGCCCGTACAATACTTTTGCGTATTTATATCTAATTAAATAGATTAATATTTAATACTAGTGGACAATTGACCGGTGGTGGACCAGTGATCTTTTCTTTGAGCTTTTCTTTGGAAGCACCCCAAACACACGCTAAAGATAAGAATGTCTTTATTATTCTCTTTTCCCTCGCTTAATGGACCCTCCAACCAGCTTGCGAATGGACCAAAAAATAATACGTAGTATTTCTTTTTATGAATAGGGAGAGACATTAATTAGTTGTTATAATAAAACTTACACTAGACAATAATATCAATTAATGAGAAATAAACTAAGTAACACTTAATAACTGAAAATATTGGTTACAATCTACTGAGTACTAAGAGTCAATAATGAGCAAAAACCTACACATTATTTACTCGTAAAACGGTATAGTTAAATTTATGAGTGGTTTCTAGACAAGTGAACTAATTTGATCCTGAAAATAACAAAATAAGTAAAGAATTAAACAATACTTAGCCTTAAAATGTAGATGAAACAGCAGAGATGACAGTTCCGGTAACAAGGTTTCCGGGCACAGCAATGTTGAAATCAAAAAGTAAGAAAGTAAAATTGTATTAAGCTTTGTATAGAATGTAGTGTTAGCTTTCCAGCAAATTTTTGTCATTTACAATGATAACTAGGCTCACTATTTATAGCTGTGTCTAAGGAAGAAGGTCTTAGGATCGTGCCCTCATTTAATGTCAATTATGATGGTCATTGATGAAGATGTAACGGTGAACATAAATGCCAAATTCTCTGTAACGGGTCGTCGTCCTTAATGCTGCAGAATATTCTTTATCAAATGCTACCGGGCGCAGAGCATTTAATACACCTTTATGAACGTTATCCCTTCAGGTGACAAGTGGAATAGCTGCGTTCGGTCTTCGATTATCCCTATCTTGGGTTCCACGTGTCTTTCCTTTAGATGACCACGTGTCATATCATATTTTATCCTATACAGATAGTTCCTCTGCTTTCCGGTGACATAACTTTTATGTCAACGGAAAGTTGGTAGAAACACCCTTTTGGCGGGAATTACTACAACTCCCTCTGAAGTCTTATGACGGTTGATTAGACGCACGTCTCTCCGCATTTAATACCCCGAACACGCGACATCCCATGATTCAACACAGCTTTTACCGATTATCGAGGTAATCATGGCCATGAATTTAGCCCCCAAAATTTTACTTTTACGCATCACCCTTCTCCTATGCACTTCACAATTTGTCGAGCTTCTGACTTGCATCTTTGTTCTCTACCTTTTCTCTAATTCTCCTCAAACAAACCAAAAAAAAAAACCTTTTCCTTCTTCTATTCACTGGCTTCTTCTTCAAAGTGCGCTGGTTCTTCAAAGAGGAAGAACAAAGTCGAAGACTCTACTCCTCCAACGGTGGGTTCCATCATCCCCAGAAGTCTTAACACCACAAAAGACTTCGAAGATAAAATCCCTACTGCTAACCCTTGTATGTGGGCTTTCAGTAGGTATCCTTCTTCCATCCATCCTTCTAGTATTCATAACATTAAGGAAGATATCTGTTGCCATGAGTTAGATATTATTGATCCTGGTCTATCGGAGCGAGTGACCCTTCCCAATGAGGGTTTCACATATTTTTATACATATCCTTTTACTTTGGGTGCGTTTTTTTTTAGTGGAGAGCTAGATTCCATGATTGCGGAGTTTTGCCTCCGCTACCAAATATGTTTGGCACAAGTAAGTCCTTCTGTGTGGAGGACGGTTGCCAACCTCTAGCGCTTGTTCCAGGAGACTGGAGAAGAGCTAACCTTAGCTCATATGATGAATCTCTACTCTCCAAAGATTTTCTGTAGGGGAATGATAAACCTCTGCAAACATGGCCAACATGCTCTGTTGACCAGTATGGATGATGATAACGATCGTAGGTGGATGGAACGATTCGTTGCAGTTGCCAGCGATAATCATTTCGACAACAGCTTCATCCTTTCTAGTTTTTTGGAACCGCACTCGTAAGATTTTCCATTTAATATTTCCCTTTACTAAATATTCCTTTGTGGCGATATTGACTCTTCATCCCGTCACATGTTTCAGCAACTCGATAGGTCCCACCGGTGGTGGAAGGCTTGGACCGGTGGGTTTAGAAGATCTTGGATGTTACGACGCCCGAAACTCATTTGTGGAAAGTACTATCCCTTAAATATGGGTGGAAGGCCAAAAATCATGGTAATTTAAACTTACTTTGTTTCTTTTTTTTTATGTGAAAAACTTGGTTGAACCCTTCTGACTTGTTCATGAAATCAGGTCTACCCGCGGGCTCAGTTGTTGTCCCCAAGGAGGACGTCTTGGCTTATCCTACTAATGCGGCGAGGCTGCTTCAGGAGGCACTTACTCGAACAGGTATCCCCAGGCCTGCTTCGGGAACAAATGTTTCACCACGGGGTCCTCTGCCGGAGAACAAGCAACCAAAAAGAAGGTGTTCTTCAGTGGTCGGGGAAAAGAATAAGAAGACGAAGGCTATTTCCCCTGAGTAGTCATCTCCGAAAGTTGTGATTACTAGCCCTTCTCCCGGGCCGGTCATAGACACTATGGTGGTCGACGATGATGGAGAAGCCAATGATGATGGGGCTTCTCTACACAGAAGGCGATGTTCATCATCAACTCAATATAATGCTCAGTCTATTGAGTTAGTTACACCAACCGAGGGTGACGGCTCGACGCTCTGGGGGAGTTTGATTTGGTAGAAAATGCCAACTCCCGTTATCGGGTCCCAACTGATGTGCCCGGTACTGCGGGGATGAGTACTGAATCCCTGCCGTCTTTGGTTGGAAAGCATCCAACAACCAGCACCGCATTTGATGCAATTGCTTCTCACTTTTCAACTCCCACAGCTTCATTTCCATCTTCACCAACACCAGCAATTGCTACATCATTCCCATCTCCATCCACTCTTCCACCAGCAATTGCTGCATCATCTCTATCAGCCGCATCTGATCACAAAGGAGATGTTCCTCCTCCCCAATCCTTAGTTCATGGGAACTTGGGGAAAAATTGTGCTGCTCCTTCTGAAGATCCCCATCGGAGGAGGAATATTACAATTTCGGTGCAACCTACTTTCCCGGCCGGTGGATCTTGCTAATTATTTGAAGTCAAAGGCTTCATAGAAAGATTGGGAAAAGGTTAGAGCACTCTTGGGAGAGTTCCTGTTGAATAATGCCATGCACAATGTCACAGCAATATTCTCCTTTCTTCCTTTGTTATTTCTTCTATTTTTATATGAACGTATTCTTAGTTTCATCTTTCTTGTTTTTTAGGCTAATTTTCTTGCTTCTGAGGGCCTTCAAAGGTTGATTCGTGATAAAGAAGAACTTACTTCCACTCGAGATCAGCTTTTGGCAGAGCGAAAGCAAATATCGCTCATCTCTTGGAATTGGAAGCCAAAGCTGCTGAGGCTGTTGCTTTGGAGGCTCATTTGCAGTAAAGCGAGAAAGAGGTGATAAACCGTAGCCAAGAAATTGGCCCACTGAGGGTTAGATTTAACGAAGCCAAGGCCAAAGGGGCTGAGGTCCATGACATCGTTCTTGCTGCAATCGAGCGCGAGGATGTCACTACTGAAAAAGTGACTAACTTAGAGGTAGCCTTGAACTACAAAATCGAAGAGCTCTGTTGCGGGGGCGAAACATGCCCAGTTGGAAGATAAGCACAAGAAAACTATCGAGCATAATAGGCTCTACAGTTCAACTGTCCGTGACCTTGATGTTAACCTCAGATCTGTTAGGTCCGCCCGGGAAAGCCTTTCTACCGAGGTTAACCAACTTAATAAAGAACTTAACGCCAAGCGGCTTCCCTCGTTGTCGAAAAAACTTACGCCATGTATATCATGAGGAGAAAAAACTTGGAAGAGGCCAAAGCAGGTATCGTTGACTTTGATGCCGAAATTGCTAAGGCCCAAGAGCTTGAGTTGCCTGCTAAAAATGGACTCCCGGCGCAGTCTGATGCTCCTGGTTCTTCTGGTTCCGGTTCTGAGTTTTCGAAAACTGAAAAGGAATCGGAAAGAGACGATGTTGAAGACCAAACTGGGGAAAATGTCAAGCCATCGGTGGATCCACCTACTTCTCTCGAGGGAGCGGACACTTCTCTTCCTTTTGGTTCCAGAGATACTATAGTTTAGTTTTTCTTTTCTTTTTCCC